TTTTTCCGGTTTGAAAAACTACCAATCGATTTTTCTCGCTTTTCCGAAAATAAAAAAAATTGACTAGGCATGTTATCCCCATATGTGCTCAACACCCAGAACACTTTGGACCAGGTTGGGTCCACCTGCTCCTCAAGATTCACTTCCAGCTCATGTCATCAAAAAAACTCCCGATCGATCTTTTACGCTTTTCCGGTGAGGTCAGTTAAGGTTTTTGAACCTCGAATACCCTCAGAAAGGAATGACATTCTTAAGAAACGTCACCGCTGACTTGACAGGTTGCAATTTTTTTACCGTGCCAATTAAAAATCATTGAAATTAAAAATTAAAATAGAAAAGTAAATAAAACTGCAATAAAAACAACACAAATAGCAATAACAAGCCTCGCTGCATACGGGGAAAGTGGAGAACAGCAGAAAAGTGTGAAAAATATAGAAAAATCAATTGGTGAATTGTGTATGTGAGTGACTTGTGTTTTGGGTAGTAAACATAACCTACATAGAACCAGCAAAACACTCACAGTGAACAGCGACATCTGTTGCACTATAGCACAATTATTTTCGTAATTGCTGAGACAATCATAAGTAAAATTTATTATGGATAGCGCTCACTGTTGTGATGAAAATAAATGCAACGGATCACGATTTGGAGGCCAATTTTTATTTTGCAGTCATTGCAAAAGAAAAGTATTTTTCGAATGCTTGCCATCACCTTTTGCAGCGAAATTTTTGATTGGGTTTGGATTAGTCATCATGCAGGACGATGGAAAAATCAAATTGCAAGGTGATCAAAACAAAATGCAAGCAATACACAAATTGTTTGAAGCAGAATCACCATTTTCTGTCACTTTGAGCGGCAAAACAACGAGAAAGCAAAAATAATGAAATTTGTTGGTGAGAAAATTATCAATGTGGTTCAAAATGAATTAAAATCAATAATTGAAGGCAATCAATTTGTAAATGACACACAAAATTTCATAACAATTGATTCACAAACACAATCGAATAATGATGAACAAACCGACAATGCTTCGGATGCGACAGATGAAACCATCAAAGATCGGGTAGGAATATCAAAAGCAAGCACTCAAAAAAACTTACTCCTAGCGCCACCAACCTATAAGTTGTGTATTGTGAGAGCCAACTTCAGACAGATTGTATATATGTGACAACTATTTTTTGACATTCGTAAAACCGCCAATTAGGTGTTTGTGTTTCAACTATAAACATTAAACATGCGAAAAGTAATTTTGCTTTTTTTATTTATTAATCATCATTTTACTGTGAATTTTTTTTCTTAATTTTTACATTTTTATTTTTTTGATTCATTATTGGTTGTTTTTTGTACTTTACTTTCATTTTTTTTCCTGAAATTTAGAAGTGTGGAATGTGCGAAAAATCGTTCATTCGTTTACAAACTTGCGGGAACACGTCGAAAATGTTCACCAGCCATTGAAGAAAAAATTCAAATGCCCGAATTGCGACATATTTTGCTCGAGACCGCACAATTTAAAGGCACATTTTCTTCAAATGTAAGTATTTTGAAAAAATTGTTGATTGATCTATTCACACGTTCACAGATAATATGGTTCAGCAACCGCTGGTTCAGCAACAGCTGATTCGGCAAAAGCTGATTCAGCAACAGCTGATTCGGCAAAAGCTGATTCGGCAACTTCTGATTATGTGTGGTCTCGAGCAAAATATGTCGCAATTCGGGCATTTGAATTTTTTCTTCATTGGCTGGTGAACATTTTCGACGTGTTCCTGCAAAGTTTGTAAACGAATGAACGATTTTTCGCACATTCCACACTTCCAAATTTCAGGAAAAAAATGAAAGTAAAGCACAAAAAACAACCAATAATGAATCAAAAAAATAAAAATGTAAAAATTAAGAAAAAAAATTCACAGTAAAATGATGATTAATAAATTAAAAAAGCAAAATTACTTTTCGCATGTTTAATGTTTATAGTTGAAACACAAACACCTAATTGGCGGTTTTACAAATGTCAAAAAATAGTTGTCACATATATACAATCTGTCTGAAGTTGGCTCTCACAATACACAACTTTATTGAGTGAATGCTTTTGATATTTCGACTTGTTAAAACGATGCATTCACGTTTTTTATTGCCGATTAATATTTTTTTATGAATAAAACATTTTTTTTAAAGATTGGCAATCATAATATTCATTAAATCAACCACTAGAAACATATTTGTGGATTCATTTCGTTTTGATATTAGAATAGTAATCGATACGAAAGTAGATGGCGGTAGGATGTAAAAATCTTTTTGCAAAAGTGACATTTCAGTACAAAATACGTTTTGATATTCCTACCTGACACTAGGCTACACAAATACATAGAAAATTTTGACAGATATGCAGCCAATTTACACAGTTTACCACGGATTAGCACGAATTACAACAGATTCATTTAGTTTAAGCAAAACTGAAATTCCCCTAGGTCGTACTTTTGGTACAAAACCTTCATTTTTGGTGATTAAATTGGAAATTGTGGTCAAAAAAATGAAAATTTTGCATGGAAATGTGTTTTATTTTCATCCAAATCGTTTGAAACCTCACCAGTGGCAGGTGTTTGATGGAAAATGACGATTACCATCAATTTTTAGTCGATGCGGTTGTGCAAAGATGTTTTTATTTTAACTGCAAACGTCATTTTTCAATGAATTCACATAATGACCTACCGAGCTCTTGCGGCACCATCTAGCGTTGAGCTATCGGCATGAAACTTTACACACGTTATTTGCACACCATATGGAAAAGTATTCCGAGGTAAGAGCGAAAAAATTTCACCTTTTGTATTTTGGGGGCCAGTCTAATATATATATATCTTACTATTCCATAGCTTAATGTATAAAACTACGTTTCACATTAAGCAATACATTAGAGTTCGAATGTTTACAGCTGAATATGCACATAGTCAACCATTTTACGTGGCGTGTAGGAATTTTAATTTAATAAGAGAAACATTTTTGGAATCAGCATCGCGAAGCATTTTTAGAATTAGTATTGTTAAATTGGACTTTTATATTCGGTAAAATAGACTAAGAAAATTTGTTTTATGAATATAGTAATATACAATGGACACTAGAGTGGAACATTTTTTGAATTTTGAGACATATCTTGATGGCCACTTGAGAAAACATGTCTTATAGTCCCCAGATTCAAGATATGAAGGAATTTTCAACTTGCGGTTCCATATAAGGCAGCGACTTGAAACGAAAGGAGGTACATTTTACTGGAAAATCATGAAAAATTGCAGTGACCCATTCTCCATGAAAACTTGTGAATCTTATTTTCTGACCAAAATAAGTAATATCACCAAGTTTCATGAAATTTCAACCAAAAATAAAGGTTCCTCCCATACAAAATTTTCGATTTTTTTTTTGAGATGCTCCTTCAAATCGATGGCAATTAATAATAAAATGAATTTTGTTTCAACAAATGATTTTAAATATGGTTTCAATAATTTAAATGAGGATTTTTTCCAAAAAATGTGGGATTAAAATTAAATTCTTTTATTTTATTTTAAATTAAAGTGAAAATTTTGTCACAGAAATAGCTACTGATGTGTAACCAAAGATGGCGTTTTCGGTTTATATGCCACTGACGTTAACATATAAATATGTCAACGCAATCCCCGGTTAGTAATAAAATACTTAAAATATCGCAAACTGATTTGTTTTAATAAGCGTATTTGTTTCTTTCTAAGCCTTATGCTATTTCAATGTGTTTCGATTTATATAAATTCTTACTGTCGAACGTCTGCCCATCGGAGTGTCCCATTTCTTATAACAAATGTATTTAGTTTTATAAGACTTTTATCGAATATTTCTTCAACCAAATGAAAATTAATTTGGTTTTTGTTGTTCTTTTATTTCCTGTGTTATGAATACTGGGCTCAAGAATAAAACTAAACAATAGAAACCTAGATAGAAACGAAATCAATATAAAAACTCTGAATTATAACCAGTCATTTCAACGCTTTGAAGATAACTGAATAAAAATCTTTCTGATACTCATTGCAAAAATTCGTACGGGTGTATAAAAATAAAAATAAAAAGGAACTTACATTCGTAAGTCCAACTTTTTTGTACTGTTTTCTAATTTCTTTGGCATTGAAGGGCTTGGTTATGTTTTTAGCTCATATTTAATAGTCGATTTAAAACTAGAACTCAAAATGAGTTTCAATGATAAAAAAAACTCATTTTGTTCGTTAAGTTACAAAAATGACACGTTAACAGTTTTTGGCATTATGAAAACATAGATTTTATCAAAAAAGAGACTTTTTTAATATCTCCCCAAAAATATTTATTTTCGGTACTTTTCGTAATATTTTAAATTGTTTAATGTTTATTACGTCAATAGTTTCTTAAATGGCCAAAATACAACATTTCTTATTAAATTAGTACATTACTACCAGCAATATATTACGGAAGATAAATATTCATTCAATAAAGCAAGAAATTTGGAAACAGTGTGAAAAAGTTAGACTTACAAAAGTTCCTTTTTATTTTAATTATATTTAGTTGATATTTCGATAAGCTTATCAGTTAACACTTTTATTATCTCAACGAAAACATTTTACAATTCATTAATTCAATGGGGCAGCAACTTAATTTTTTAAAACTCTTTTATCGTGACATTTCATCACGTTTTATTTGAACTTTTTTCATTGTCTCTTAATTCAAGTGCTTCAGTTTTTTTGAATTTTTCATAGTTATAAGCTAAAATTGCGAATACAAACATGCTGCAGAACATTAAGCCCGAGAAAAAAAGGAATTCATATGTACGCGATTCAAACAATTTCATTTCGGCTATGAAAACAAGAATTATATTACCAAGAGACACTTGTAAATACCAAAAAGCTGTAACCACCGATTTCATCTAGGGGTTTTCATGTAATTTTATTGGATGAACTTTGCATTATCGTTGCATATTGGCATATCGTTGAAATATCGGCGGAATATCGGCATATCTGTAAAATATCGGTTATATTCGGGTATTTTTTGATAATTAATTGTTCTGGAAGTTGGCTTTGGTGGATCCTCAGGATCATCAGAACCGCTCCCAGTTCTGGAAGTGGGTTTTGGTGGATCCCCTGGATGGACCAAAGCATGGTTTGACAATCCCTTGGCCCATCCACCAAAGCCCACTTTTGCACAAAATAGTGAAATCGGTAAAAATGTGCATTATTTGAAAACATTTGCATCATTTGTTATACTCTTGTTTATTCGTCGAATTCGGGAAAGAAAATCTTGCATGAAAGTCCAGTTACTGCAAGCTATAGCTTCAGCTATATTTTGCGTCACTCTATATACTCAGCAATGAAACGACAACAACAATAACACATATTTTTACTGTCAAAATTTTGATGTCAAATGGTGTCGACATTGGTGACGGTATTTTGAAACAGACTGTGTAATCCATATTCATCGTATATGATCCTATGTAAAGTTCTATAATAATAATAATAACTGCACCGAACAGCGTTCCTTCGCCTTGGTGGTTTATTGAACATAATTTAATAATTTTTATCAAGCATTTTTGAGAGTGAAAATGAAAAATCATTGTTTCTTCATTCCCCTCACGTAAATAATATAAATTTTCTATGTTAATTTTCTTAAAATTTCTATAATTCATTTTTAAATATTTTGTATTTATCTGTTTTGCTTAAAATAATTTTCTATTCTTATTTTGACTGTTGATACATTCACTTCTAAATCAATTAAATTTTTATCACTGCTTGGCATTTTTTTGGTATAAAAATCGTTGAATGATGTAAGCATATAATTTATTGGTTCATATTTTGTGTAATCAGTTCTTCTAATTGGTAAATACTTGATCTAGTTCACATTGACGGTTCAAATCGTTTATATCCACTAGCGTGGACATGGACTGTGTGTTTCTTCTGTTACATGTACGTTGTAATGGACAAGTATAATAACATGGCGTCGTTCAAATAAATTTAAAAATCCGTCCACTCGTGTCGATACTAGTACGGTAGTAGGGATTTCATTTCTGTGTCTATATATACGTTAAAGACATGAAAATCTAGACCGCTAACTTTTGGAAAGGGGTTTTTGCATATTTTAGTAGTGCTCGAGCACCAAATTAAGAATCCGCAAAAAAAAATTTAAAAAATTCAAAATTTAGCCGCCAGGTGGCATTATGAAAAAATCGCTGAAAATTCCTTTTTTTCGATTTTCGGCCACCAAAATTATTTTTTCGAAAAAAAAATATGGCCATATTCGGGATCTAGGAACCGCGTAGATAATGTTTAAAAAATATCATCATGATCGGTTGAAAAGTGGACGATATATGGTTCATTGGCCAAAAATGGCCAAAAACCTCAATTTGGCAAGGTGGTATGTTTGTGTGTATGTCCGTAGTTTCTTTTAAATTGTGTGAAATTATTTTTTTTCGAAAGTAGACTGAAAACTGAGCAAAATAATTTCTCAGTTTCAAAAAATCCGTTGCGTAAGTGGTTTTGGACTAGGGTCGAAAATTTTTGGGAGGCCCTTTTTGAGTTTTTCATCAATCGGACATTTTTCTGGCCATCTGTAAGGTACAACAATGATTTATACGTCGTTGGAAAGGTATGAGACTCCACTTCCTGGATCCGAAGTCAAAATGGAAATTTTTTCAAAAAAGGTCTACCAGGTGTCGTGTTATGTGACATTTTCGGCGAAAAATGACCATGACTTTTACTTTTCCGCACACACTAAGTGTGTAAGGGGAAAGTATTGCAATGGGTCAAAATTTACGAAACCTCAAACACATGTTTTCTGGACGTTTCTGAGGTCAGAGAACCCGAATCAGGCCGTTTTGAACATGGTTGTTGTGGGTCTGTTCCACGTCGTACGTCGTACGTTGTCCTCTGTACGAAAAATTTGTCCATCGATTATCTCACCCCCCAGAAAAGTTATTTAAAATCTGACTTCACGGGATGATTGGGGGTCCCGAGGAATAGAAATCATTGGATTTTGAGCGATTTTGGTTGATGGAAAAAAATGTCATGCCTGGAGTGATACCAATGAAAAAGAGTCCAATTTTCGTCCAAAATTCATACTTAATGTAGACTTAAACACTCAAAAATTTGTATTGGGGGTTTTTTGGCACGAGAAAACCGAATCCGACTTTATTTTTGAGATACAGTCAATTTTTGATTCAGTTTCCTTGAAAAATGGGAGCCATGCCTGTATACTACCTTAATGATGAATTTGTGAAAAAAATAATCTGTACAAAGTTTTATGATTTTAATGATATTATTTTGAACTTGCTTTATAAAATACGCAAATACCACCGTGCGGAAAAGAGGTGTATGTTGGGGACCAAATATGTGATGATTTGGCGTATGTATCATATCTGGGAAAATTCGAATTTTTTAAAAAATTCATTCCGAAGTTGAATTTTTTTTTCGGCAAATTTTCAATTTTTTTGTCATTTTTGATCACAGGTATACGGGGTGTTTTTTAACAGAATAACGTCATAAAGGTCATCTTGATGAAGCAATAAAGACATTTTAAAAAAATATTCAGCGGAAAAGGTTAGATCAGAATGACTAGACCTCGAAAAATGGGGAAAAATCGATGTTAATCGTCATTTATCTCGAAAAAAGGTATGCCGATATGCACATTTTTAAAAACCAACATTGTTTTATTTGATGAAAATTGGGAAAAGTGTGAACTTAAGCGGCCACCTATATTTTAATATCTTACTAATCCACTGTAATGTGCTAGGTTTTTACTTTGTTGGTCCACTTTGACAACTGATTTTACATAATTCGGACCCAAAAAATTTAATAGTGGCAACCGTTTTGAGAAATTAGTTCATTTTTTGAGATTTTTCAGCTTGAAACCTTTCTTTTGGAATGATATTTCGGAAAAAATTGTTTTTATTCGATTGCTAAGAAGATTGGTACTGGGGGGTATTTTGGCACGAAAAAACCGAATTTGACATTTATTTTACGCTAAAATCAGGTCTCAACACACTTAGCGTGAGAATTTCGTTATGAATTTAAATTACTGAAAAAAATTATTGATATAAGTACAAAACACTTTTTTCGAAGTTCCCACTGTGACGCAATACTGTAAGTCTGGAAATTTTTTGATATAAATTTTCAGTGACGCGTTCGTTCATATACGCGAACAAAATGTTAATATTGCTGTTTAATGGTGCTCATTTCCAACTGAATTTTTAGCGAATATTTTTCTGATGAATTTTATTTAGTTATGTGCACAATAATCTCCTTTTCTATACTTAAATTAAAGGTTAAAATGTAAACTTTGTCTTTATGTGATCGATAGAAATGACATTTCATCACTTTGAAAAGATCCTTAAAGATAACTGATGTAATGAAATCATTAACAAATAATATTAATTTCATATGTTATATGCAGATTAGATATTTCGATATCTTTCTGCATGATATTTGTAATTTATCCCGCCGCTTAGGGTACTATGCAAGCCTATAGTCATTTGCATCACCGTTCATTCTATAAGCTTAAACGGAATCCAGTTTGCATGAGTAATGCCCCAAATTACCAGAGTATCCTGATTTGCTGCTGCTCAGCATATAGCTAAGAGCTGAGAAATGCTGAGCTCGTGCGGCTAACGCATACGGAACGGATGCTATATACATATTCCCCTTTCGCTTCGTATGTGCTGCCGTTGACGCTATTGCCGGTACAACGGTTACACACTATACCAGCGAACATACGAAGTGAAAGGGGAATATGTCTCGTGCATCCGTTTCGTATGCGTTAGACGAACACTTTCAGAATATATGAAAGACTGAGAGCAAAAACAGCACGTCGCATCTCATCTCTTGCTTTCACTTACGTAAGCAAAATAACGAGGGATGCGACGTGATATTTTTCTCGCAGCTTCTCATATGTCGGTCGCAACACAATTTCAAACTCAACTGGTTACTAAGTTTTGAGTTTTGAATTGAACGTCCAATCAACTGTTTATAACCGTTTAAACGGGGAGAATGCATGTGTGCGTGCCATCCGTTTCGTATGCGTTAGCCGCACGAGTTCAGCATTTCTCAGCTCTCAGCTATATGCTGAGCAGCAGCAAATCAAGATGCTCTGCAAATTACCAAACATTCAGCAACGTTTCTCCCAATCGTACGAGTCGGCCCGCTTCATTTCAACCATGTTTAAATTCGTGTTTCCATTATTGGTTGTCCATTTAGTCTCCAAAAACACATGGTCCGGAAGATAAATGGTAACTTTTCTAGCACCAATCAATTGTTTACGTTCTTCGTTCAGTGTCACTATGTCAACTGTTTTTTCGTGTGTTTCATTTTTCAGTGTTAATTTCAATTTACTCAATTTCATTGATCGACGAATAAATGGACGAATGTCATTAAACGCTGCGTTTTGAATTTGAATTCTTTCGAGACTAATCAAACCCGTGGCCAAAATATCCATCTCACTTGTGCATGCACCATCAAAAATGGTTAGTTCTTTTAGGTGAATCAATTTGTGTATGCTGAAACTTTCGTTGAATTGTTTGATCGATAAATGCTCAAGGCCGCCCAACATCGTCAATAGCTCGCTTGATTTCATATCAATGCGTTTAACATATAAATGCAATCGCTGATAAAAACCCCTCGCATGTAGTTGATTCAATAGTTCACAAATCAGCCGAATGTCGATGAATTGTCGATAAAAATTGTCTAACATTTGAATTTCCAATCGGTCAAGTTGTATATTCGACTTCAAAAGTTCGTGTCGATTCTCCCAAAGACACCTCGAACTAGTTGAAAATCCGCGAATCGACGGGTTTCTCTCAAAAAATGTGCTTAATTCTAAAATTTTAAACGGATATCGAAGCGTCATCTGCATAAATTCAAGCGTTTTATACTGACGAAGTAGCCATGGATTTCCATTTTCGTCCACAATATCGCCGAGATCATCTTGAATGTAAAGTCGCTTCAATTTCTTACAATATTTCAGAAAACCATCGTTAAAATCACCGAACATCCTACATTGTTTCAATTGAAGTATTTCGATTTTTGAAAGTACGGTTTGTAAACATTCCAATTTGATTGCATCGATTGTAAGGCACACAAGGTAAAGATGATTGATTGAACTTAAGTTATCACCGTGTAATTGAATGTAATAAAGCGGTTCGATTTCTTCGTAGTAATGTGAAATGTAATTGATGAATTGATTAAAAATTGACGTTTGAGTACGTTGGTTCATGACACCTTGACGTTTTGTATAAACGGTATAAATGCCATCGATGGCGCTAAATTTTTCTGCCGATTTATAATTTCGTTGGAAATATTCGCCGGCGATTTGCTGCATCTGCTTGCACGTTTCACCCATTGCAGTCACCTCAATCAGTGATAGATATTCGAAGATTTCCTCCAAACAATCGATGTTTAGACGGAAAATTGATGCTTCATCATTTGACACTTGATTCTTTTTCATCAGATATTTCTCACTTTCCGGAAGTTCCCTCTAAAAAACAGAGAAAATAGAAGAAAATTAATTGGATTTCAATGAAAATCAAAGCATTTGAACTTTATACACAAAATATTACTTGAAACATTGCGAAAATTGTATAAAATTCATTAAACACCATATAAAATTGACAGAATCGTGCAAGAAAAGAAAGTCACACAAAAACATTAGAAGCACCGACAAGCTGAAAATCAGCTGTTTTCATTTTGACGCATGCTCTGTAGAACGGTCACATTAGACATTGTATGATTTGAATTGAAATGGAAGTTTCGGTTGAGAAATTTGAAAAAAACAGTTTGAACGATTGAAGGAAAACCAGTTTATTTGATATTTTCAATTAATCTTCATTTTTTTACATTTTAACAGTTTAATGTTTATAACTACTTTATAAATCCAACAATGGCAGATTTTCATAAAAAAGTCGTCACTTCATTGAAATCGCCCCACCCCCTAACAAATGTAGAATGCGAAAACCAATGATTGTCATTGACGTTATGTGGCGCGTGTTTTTTTAAATTCCACGAAAAAAGCACTCATAAATTAATAAATTAAATGTGGAATGACTCGATTTTGTTAACTAAAACAACCTACCCAGTCGACTTAAGTCGTCTATTTTTCTGATTTTAAACAAACGACCATTTTGGGATAACTGTGATTAAAGCTGATATGAGTTGTATTTTTCTCTACTGGAATCGACTGCAAAAATCAAACAAATCAACTTTAAATGACTTCAATCTCAGTTGGCTTAAACGAAAATCGCCCCAAATTAGTTAACTGAGTAGTCAGCCAGTAATTTTTCAAACGTGATTCTCACTCCGATTTTGTATTTTTTTGGATTTTAATGAAGTGAGCAATGATTTCATGGTCAAGGTCAATTTGCGCTTTGATATTTCGATCTATGTTTGTGTTTTAATCGACCACGACAAAAAATCGATGTGAACTTACCGGAACTTACACTACACCTTCTTTCATGGACTTGAAATTATTTTATCTCATGCAATCGTGAAACCTTTTAAGTCCACTTGGAAGGTAAATGTAAAACTTTCGATTTTAACTGGAATGAAATTGTTCAAAAGAATATTATGAAACACATTGAGTGTGATGTCTTTTATTTATTGATTTAATGTTTTTATTTACAAAAAATTACCAAAGTCAATGCAGTTTGAATGTTCCGAATCTAAAAATAGCAAATATTCAGCCAATCTCGGTTGTAATTCAATGTTTTCTTCAATGTTATTTCATCAGTGCGTATCATCAATAAAACACGTACACGATCTTTGGCCAATATCAAAATGGAGTTATAGATATCCAAATCCACAGTCATCTGGCATCCACTGACGATGGTAAGCTTCGTTAAGTGTTTGCCACACTTTAAAATCGTCTCCATTCCATCTGGTGTAATATCGTTGCATTGAACTCGTATTTCTTCCAATGATGAAAGTATTTCAACGAATCGAATGAAAATCTCTTCGGAAACATTGCCAACATCCAAATGCTTTAGTAAATTTAAATTCAAAATTGCTTCAGCCAAACTATTTCCATATCCATTTATGCTCAAACTCTCCAATTGCACGTTATTTTTCACCAACAATTCAATCAAAGATTTCGCTGAAAATCGATTGCAATAAATTCCAAGGCATTTTAACTGCCGCAAATTGGCAATGTGCAAAAGGTCATCGTTTTCAAAAAATGGATTAAAAAACATGATATGCAAACTGACAAGGTGTGGTACACGAATGCTGATGTCTCGTAAAATCGACGACGAAACTCGTTTACAACCTTCAACTTTAAATCGACGCAACTGTGGATTTTTGGTTAAAAACTCAATCAACATATCGTCGGTGAAGCCGTTTATATTGACTAATTCGATTTCTTCAACTTTTGGAATTATTTGCACAATTGAATCGAAAGTCAACACTTTTACAAGCTTCAATTTCAACACTTTTAGTTGTGGAAAAATTCGAAAGTTTTTAATTAAACCAGTTTCGATTTCTAATTTTTCTAATACCTCAAAATCGGATCGAGTGTCAAGGTCGATGTTATGGTCACTGATTGTTAACTCTAACAATGATTTTCCACAATGATCAGCGAGTATATTCATATTTTCTGTGTCTGAATTGCGTTCTGTTGTATGCCAGCGAATCGATTTAACTGAACCTCCAAAAATTTGTAAGAAACACGTTAAAAGCCGCGTGGGAATTGAATTGATGAAAAATCCGCCTCGAATTGAAATTTCCTTGAACTGTGATGGAATACATTGTTGTGCATTTTCTTGAAAACGAGTACACACTTGTGCAACACTCAAAAAATCACGGACATTTGTTAGACGACGAAAAATCTCTTGAAGGCAGTCATCGTTCAGAATGTTTAGAATGTCGGATGGGATATCCTCCAGACGTGATTGACGATAGGGAGAATTTTTCATAATTTTCAATGAAACTCTCAGCGCGTATGCTTTGCACAATTTTTTTTGCTTACTATGTATGTCACGCTAAATACTAAATTAGATTAGCCAGATTCAAACACAGGAATATTGCAATGACAAGCAGCACAATGACAGCGGAAGCTTTTACGATATTTACTTTCCGCTCTGGCATTCATTAAAGCTGATTAAAGCTAAATAAGCTCGACGCCGCAATTTCAAAGGCTCTTAGACAAGTGTGCTTTTAGACTTTTGTCTCGACTTTCGAAATCTATTGAAGAAAACGGTTTTTTCGGTGGCAGAAAAATCGAAGAAGTAAGTGCTCCAAAAATATTGGGTCCGAAAATGGGTATTTATTTTTCATTCCACGAAGTTATTGCTTTTTTATTTATTTCGATTCATAAAAAAAAGTCTTTTTAAAATATTTTTAGTCATAGTAAAATCACCTACAGAATTCAAAATTCATAACAAAATCAATCGATTCACATAATAATTCATATGAAATTCCCAAATGGTGCTTCTTTTAAAGATAATAAAATGTCTTACATCCGTAAGATGAACTTTTCCGCACCGTGATCCACACCATGCATTTATTACAAATATTTTACTCAAAGAATTCACGAGAAAACTGAACCTGACATTAGTTTTAAGATACAAATAATTTTCGAAGCACTTTTCATACAAAAACTACTAAAAATGAGAATTTTCGTATCGCAGCCATGCCTATATGATATCGTAATCATGTGAAAATTTGCAGAAGGTTATTTTTTCACAAAAGGCTAACATTCCGAAAGTTTGAAGAAATTTCAATGCATATTAAGGGTACTTCCCATACAACATTTCGTTTTTGAGCGAAAAATCCAAAATTTTGTTCGGGTGGTACCCCTAATATGCGTTGAAATGTTTTCAAACTCTCGAAATGGTATTTTTGTATGATAAAAATAACCTGTGCAAATTTTCAGCTCATTACGATATCATACAGGCATGGCTTCCATACAAAAATCCAATTTTTTTGAAATTTTTGTATGAAAAGTGTGTCGAAAGTTATTTGTATCGCAAAACTAACGTCATATTCGGTTTTCTCGTACCCAAAAACCCCCCAATACACATTTTTGAGTGTTTAAGTATACATTAAATATCACTTTTGGAAGAAAAATTGAATTTTTCTCATGAATGGCCATAGGCATCACACCAGACATGACACTTCACTCTGTCAACCAAAGTGGCTCAAAATCTAATGGTTTCTATTCCTCGGCACCCCCAATCATCCTGTGAAGTCATATTTTGAATTACTTTTCTTGTTTGAAAGTTATCGTGTTAACAAATTTTTGCGTACAGCGTACAGCGTACCACGCACATACATTCGGACATCGAAAAAACGCTAGATTCGTGTTTCCTGAATCCTAAAACACCCAGAAAACATGTTTTTTGAGGGTGTTAATTTTTCGACCGATTCCAATACTTTACCTTACACACTAGGTGTGTGCGGAAAAGTAAAAACACAAAATTAATTCAATATTAATACTCACCATTCTCGTTATTAAAATATCCAAATCTTTAATGATAATTCTAGTCAGCTGAAATAATTTCATAGTCAGCTGAATAAATATAAGCGAAACCGAAAAATACGCTTTTAAACGTTTATTTCCCGAGGCACTATCGCCAAATTCCACTTCGAGAGTCGTTACTTGAGGATCCCTGCGAAAACTTGAATGCATTCGAATCGTATTACCCGCCCATTTATTGTCAAATGTGTTCTGTTGTGCGTCGAACGCACCCCAGTTCTGAGCCGCTGCCACTGTAATTTATGTATTGACATTTGACAGTGTTGAATACTTTTTTTCCGTATTTACAACATTTCTATACTGTACACGTCAAATCGAATGATAGCTCGGTTTATCAATTCACTGTTGTTTTTGTTGTTGTCAGCATTTTTTTCTGTTCTGTTGTGCTTCGAAAAATCTTTATCAAACATAAAATAAAATTCACTGTTTATTATTTATATGTAAGACGAATAGGATCAACTAAATCACAGACCATTTAGTTTACTTATCATTATTTATGATGGCATCAAATTACGAACACGAAGTTTTAAACTTGGAATGTTCCGTCGGTCATGCCCAATACATTGAGAGCGTAAACATTTTATTGAAAATTTTAAACAATGTCATACGTGAACCGCAAAATGATAAATACCGTACCATCCGCCTTGAAAATAAGATTATCAAAGAGAAGCTACTGTGTCTGACGGGTGTTCAAGAATTTTTGAAAAAAATTGGATTTATTGAGGTTCACTACATTTTTTACATATCTGACAATACCTTTTGATAAATGCTAACATGTGTCGTCAAATTAGGTGAATGGAACATTGAATTTGCCGACAAATGTTTTGATTGCAACCATTCGAAAGTATCGAGATCAGCTGAACGACCGCTATGAACGTATTAAAAATGGGACACCGGGTGAGCCACAAAACGAGGCAATGAGTTCAAAACCATCAGGATCGAATACGATAAAACCACGGCCCACCAAAATTATCCCCTTGAAATCGTATTCGGAGCGAATCAAATTTGAGAAACTAGTGGTAGGTGTTATCGTGTGTACATACCAATTATCCTCACTACAACTGAATAATTCTTGATTTTTTTAGCCGTTCCAAAATGAGTTTTTACAAAACATGGAATTTCGTTCGGATGAAGTTATGCAATATGAAGATGATCGTCTGCAATATTATGGTCGACGAATGATTCCGATTCGAACGCTTACTGAAAATGCGGTGAAAAGCATGAGAGCTGTACAAAAACAACAACTAAACGCGAGCCATGGCACAAGCGATGCAATTAAAGATCCAAGTTTTGACGATTGGTTTCTGGTTGAATTAACAAAATGGTTCAATGAATCGTTTTTTGAATGGATCAATACATTGCCGTGTAAGGTGTGCGGACAAGATAATGCACGAACCAAAGGCACACAAGTCGAGAACAATACACGAGTCGAGGTGAGTGACTTTAATATTTGAAACGGAATTATTCAAAAATGACATGTTGAATCATTAGGTTTTATACTGTTGCAATACACAAACAAAATTCTATCGATATAATGATGTGGCGCAGTTGCTGTTGACACGCAAAGGACGTTGCGGTGAATATGCCAATTGTTTTACATTTTTATGCCGATGTCTTGGATATGAAGCTCGATTGGTTCAAGCGACTTTTGATCATGTTTGGACTGAGGTAATTGGACATTTCTAATTCTGAATACTTCTTTGAAATATAATGTCCTATTTCTGTTCTATTAGGTCTTTTCAGAAGCTCAGAACCGGTGGATTCATGTCGATCCATCCGACAACGTAATCGATGCACCCTTGATGTATCAACATGGTTGGAAGCGAAACGTGGACTACGTTATTGCCTTTTCGAGTGAAGACATTCAAGATGTGACATGGCGTTATGCAAATAATCACAAAGAAACCATACGACATCGACAACGATGCACCGAATCGGAATTACTGAAAACACTTCTTCTGCTTAGAGAAAAGCGACAACAAAATTTGTCGGCGGCGCGTAGATATTATTTGAAAAAGCGCAATTTACGTGAAATAGTTGATTTGATCGTTCAGAGGCCACCGACCGAAAATGAATTGAAAGGAAGAAGTTCGGGCAGTTTGAACTGGCGACTTACACGTGGCGAGGACCAACCATGTTCATCAAACAATGTAAACAATTGCTTTGAAACTTATTGTTCACGTAGTAATTTATTATGATTATTTTTTTTTCACTTCCAGTTCTTCGTCTTCAACGCATCAGAGACTGAAATCAGTGCAAAGCAATTTAATCTTCGTTATTCTTGTGCAAAAAACGAATATGAACGATACATAAAACGTTCAAGCGATTTTATAGATGTTATAAAGGCGACAAAATCATGGCAGTCTTGTGCTTATCGATGGGAAAATATTTTTCGAAAAGAAGAACGAGATTGGAAAATGGTCTATTTGGCGAGAACTGAGGATGCGAACCATGCAGAAATTGAATATAAATTCGATTTTTCACAACTTAAAATTAACGACATTTCACTGAAGTTTGATATGAAGATTTACGAAAGTGGAGAGATTGAGGTTAGATTTTTACATAAAGGTGAGTGATTGAACTTTGTCAGATTTTTGTTTCAGATTTTGTAAGTTTGTATTTCATTCTCACAATTCCAGGCAAAGTGTTACCAAACTTCCAAAGCATCAAAAACTTGGATTCATTCTCGATTTGCGTGAAATTAACTGGAGGCAACGGCGATTGTGCCTGGCAACACACACAGCTGTTTCGACAATCGATTTTGGACGCTGATGAATTTCCATTCGATTTAAATATTACATTTTTCTAATGCATTCCTTCTAGCATTCCTTTAATTAAAAAATTACGTTTCGAAAAAGCAAAAAAAAAAGCTTATTATGAATTTGAACATTAAATTGTCTGCTTATCTGTCAAATGTCTTCGTCGAACGCACTCCAGCGCTCAGCTCCTGTCACAAGTGACTTCAACAGCTGTCAAAATGAATTTCACAATAACTTCGTCATATTAATCATCAACTTTGACCATATCGCACAGCTATTTGTTTGCGTCCAACTACACAAATAACAATCGTTACAAAAAACAATCTGAAACGACAAAAAAGTACAATAAAATGGCGCCAGTAAAAAAGAAGAACGCAAAACAGGTTAGTAGTGGTGGATCCGATCCGGAAAGCGAGGAATATCTCAAGAAACGAGCTCGAAACAATCAGGTAAATTTCATGTTTTTCTCATTTTCTCTCCATCACTGATATCAATTTCTGAATTGATAACCTATTTTAAATGCTAAAAATAGCTCTCATGCAAAATATGATGTGATTGTATTCGCAATTTTCATGGAACTTAAATAATATAATGTCTTTTATTTGCTTTCTATGTCTAGGCGGTTAAAAAAAGTCGCAATAAGTCGAAACAAAAAGCGGAAGAGACCAAGGAGCGGGTTGATAATTTGAAGAATGACAATCAAAGGTTGTCGGAACGAATATCGGAAAAAGAAAAACAGTTGAATGACTTAAAGAGCCTTTTTATTGAAACGGCCAAATCAAAAACAGATGTAGTAAATCAAGACCTGAGGGCACTGCTAGCCGATGGAAGTGACGATGATAATGACAACAACTAAATTTAAGAACACTTGATGCATCCAAATACTTAATACTTAATTTATAAATAGTTAACATAAATCTAAGTTAGGCTAAGAATGACGTAAAAAATCTGTAACGTTTCAAATTCATTTAATAAACATTGACATAAATAAAAAGAAATCACCAAAAAGTATGACTTTGGAAAGTAGGAATATATCTACCGCTACAACTCGATTGTAATCAGCTGTTCATATAGATTTTTTTTTCATTTCACGTTGAAGACGTGATTCATGGATTCATCTACAGGTGTTCTACATGTGTTCCTATATTGACACAGTGTGATTCATGTAATGAAAAAACAAACCTTTAAATAAAGTGACTCGAATAAATGTTTTCGGTGGTGAACAACCGATTCAATAACAAAATCTGGTTATTTTGGGTTCGAAACACTGGTTACTAACGTAACGTTAGTCATTTGTTCAAAAATATTTTTATAAAGATTATAAAAAATTGGACAAAATGACAAAAGAAATGAATGAAAAATGCACAAAGAATAAATGAAGAGAGAGAGAGAGAGAGAGAGAAGGAGAAGAGAAATAAACAATTTAATAAAAAAATAATTTGTATTTTGAACGTATCGATAGTGATTTCGCCGCATATCTCCATATGCACACAAAAGTCTCCACAGATCAATTGTCATAGAAAAACGCACTCGCACACAAATGCCAGTCCATTCAATGTAGTATCAAATCGCACTCGTCTGTTGTGCTTGAAAAACATAAAGAGGGGAATAGACAACGGAATTGAATGTGTGCCTATCTGTGTGTATTTCTTTGTTTTGTGTATGTATGTTTCATCGCCACCAACTATAAAGTCATCATCGCAAAACGGTTTGTACAAATATTCATTTAGTGTCGAAACGTCGATCACATCGGGCACAAATTTTTTTTAATTTGTGTTCATTTTTACGGAAGAGAAAATTATTTTAAATTTTTGTTAAAACACTTTGCACAAAATCCACAAATTTTTCAACTGTCGCCGTATTTTTGGTTCAAGTAAGTGGTCATTCATTTTTATTTATGTATTTAGATTGTTATAACAGACATATTGTTTGTCATGGAAAGAAGGGCGTCTTTTCTTATCTTAACGATGCAACATTTGTCACTGATAGATTAAATTGATAGACATAATTAGAAAATTGCGACGAAAATTGCATGACCAAATATTAAAATTCCGAAGACGAAAGAAGCAAAATATAAATAAATAATGATGACTAAATCAGATAATTCAATTATGTATGTGAATTGTGATGACTAAATTTCATCATTTGTAGAGGTTTTAGAGAATTCGTTTTTTCTTTTACTTCGTTTTATTCAATTTACGACGTATTTTTGTGCTATTTATTGAGTTTAGTCTCTTTTTCGTTGATGATTTGGCATATTTTCAAAATGGAACCAGCACAACATAAATGTTCTTTGTGATTTTTATTCTACTGGTACCTTCATATCGAACGAAAAAAATATCATTTTTATTTATTGTTTTCGATTTCTATTTTATTCTTCCCGTTTATTCCAAACACTTACTCATTTTTCAACGAAACAAAGAATAATACCAAAAACGGACGAGAACATTTTTTTTCTCTGCTTTTCATCTTCTTTCGTCGTTCCATGTTTATCGAAAACGTAAAAAGGCATAGATATAAACAAAAGAGAACGCTGCATATTGGTATGTGTGTGTATTTTTGTTGTGTCTCAGTACAGTCTACACTGTTATTGTGTACGATGTTGGGTTGAAACACTTTCAAGTAACAGCTGATTTTACAGTTTGTAGACTTACATTGCTTTTATATTCAAAACATACTTCGATCCAAAAAAAGACAACGGAAACTTGTTTCACGCCGTAAATAAGGCAACTAGCATTACAACTCATTACAGAAAATTTCCTTTTTTTAATTATTTTATGTTGCTTTCTCATTGACAGAATATAATAATCATGAACAAATGTTTGATTGTGTTCGTTGGGCTATTGGCTGCAACCAGTGCCGTTTCAATTTTTGAATTGATCCAAGAGGAATGGCATGCATATAAGGTAAGTGGCTTAACTAAATAAACGTTTAAATGATTCACCATTTGTGGCGACATCATCAAAAACAAGAAACGCCCCATGCATGCATTTTGAATCAAAACAAAAGAGATTTGGAAATCCAGTCAGCATTCTGAATTTAAAAAAAATGCTTGTTTCAATTTTTTTATTCCGTATTTGAATTTATTCAAATGTTTTTGAATCACCGATATGACAACAGATTTCATATCGGCAGTTTCAATCAACCATTTCAAGCAAACTTTAATGTAATGAATTTCAAAACTAATAAAAAAAAAATCGAATTGAAAAGAAAAACTTCTCGAATGTTCCACTGAAAAACAGAAAATGATTTGTATGTCATGTTTATTTATTCGCTTGGCTATTTTTAACGTCATCCATGTAACTTAATCAAGAAACTGAATTGCGAAGCGCGTGATCGGTAATTTTAAACCGTTGACCAAAGACACATTCAAAGCAGAATTTAGAGAACTGATAGCCTGGTACGAATGACCTAACCGGTTGATGCAAAAAAAAAAATTATACGGACGCACAAATCTCATTTCCAGTTGCGATAAAACTCACATGACTTTTATTGCGCGTCGCGTTCTCACTTGCGTTTTCACTAGTTTTTTTTTCGCATGAAACGGTATCAGTTATTCATTTTATTTGTCAGTCAGAATTAGTTTATAAGTAAAAAACAAAGTTGAAACACAAACAATCCATCAAAATGCTTTCCTTCACGGCCTATAATTGCTGACGCACATATTTCCTCGAAACAGTCGCAGTTCTTTGGAGATAATTTTTCCATCTTTTTTGAAAAAGTTACCGTTTTTTGAGTATTTTATCAGTATATTTTTTTATAGTAATTTTAATTTAAATGAAAACAACTTATAAATGTAATGTCATTTCATACCGATATTTCTTCTGTGCATTTTCCGTTTTTTGTCTTAGACCACATGAATAAATTAGCATGATGAAATTTTCGGTTGAATCAGTTCAATTGATTTATGTACATTTACATTGAAATTGTCACGTGGATTCAAATTTGGCGTCTTGGTTTGTCGTTGACCTATTTTTTCAACATGCGTTCCCTTTTGCGCGCCAATTTGAGTAACCGCCAATGTATTATCAGCATTGTATGCGCAATCTGTGCACGCTTCATCGACAATTTCCAATAAAACTTTGAACACAACGTAAAAAGGTTTTTATAGTAACTTTGACCCGGTCGAGCACATGAACTAATCGATTATAGTTATTGCGCACCCATTACAGGACAGACGCATACGTAACTCATAATCAATTTCAAGCAAATACTTTCTACGTCTTTTTCCATAATCTGGTTTTTGTCTCTCGTGCTACTCGTGAATCATTTATTTAAGTCCGAATGCTGATATAGGCTATCAAATGAATTGTACTTTTAAAATAATTTCATTGTTTTCCTCTTTTATTTGGATTTTCGTATTGTTTCGTCTAGTTGGAGCATTCAAAAGAGTACAAAAGTGATACAGAAGAGCGTTTCCGTATGAAGATTTTTGTGGAAAATAAAAATAAAATCGCACAACACAATCAAGCATATGCAAAGGGACATGTTTCATATAAATTGGCATTGAACAAATATGCCGATTTGTTGCATCATGAATTCGTGGCTCACATGAACGGTTTCAATCGATCGACCGCTTTGAAGTAAGTTTAAAAAAAAAACAAAACGATAATTTTTTCTACTTATGCACAACGTATTAAATGCTCAATCTTTTGATATCTTTTGATTATAGATTGAACAAAGGTGTAAACAAACCAGTCGAAGAGCCAATCTTCTTTGTCGAACCAGCCAATGTGGAAGTTCCAGCATCGGTTGACTGGAGAGAAAAAGGAGCCGTTACTGAAATCAAAGATCAAGGTCATTGTGGTAGCTGCTGGTCATTCTCATCAACTGGTGCCCTTGAAGGACAACATTTCCGTAAGACTGGTGTTTTGGTATCATTGTCAGAACAAAATCTGGTCGACTGTTCGGCTGCGTTCGGTAACAATGGCTGCAACGGTGGATTAATGGACAATGCCTTCCAATATATCAAAGACAACGGTGGTATTGATACCGAAAAATCATACCCATATGAAGGTCAAGATGATACGTGTAAATACACTGCAAAGAATTCAGGTAAACATTATTGAATATCAGCGAATAAAATGTCAAAAAAAAAATTGAAAAAAAAAATCATTTTTTTTGTTCAGGTGCTACTGATCGTGGTTTCGTCGATATCCCAGAAGGAAATGAAAAAAAATTGGTGGCTGCATTAGCCACAGTTGGACCTGTATCAGTTGCAATTGATGCTTCACACGAATCATTCCAATTCTATTCGTCGGGAGTTTATTACGAACCACAATGTGATTCACAACAATTGGACCATGGTGTGTTGGCCGTTGGTTACGGAAGCGAAGACGACAAAGACTATTACATTGTCAAGAATAGCTGGGGCACATCGTGGGGAGACGCCGGATACGTTAAAATGGCTCGTAATAAGAAGAATCATTGCGGTATCGCCACATCAGCCAGTTATCCATTGGTTTAAACGCCAACAACGTTTATACTCAAACGATCTTTATTCTTTATTATTATTGTATTTCGATATTTTTCATCTAATTTTCTTCTTCTCATGAATTTGGAATTATTTAGCATTTTTTTCTTTAAATTTTGTTTTTGTCGAATAAACCATCATTATTTCGCTAATGGTTTCATTTTTTGCCATGAAATTGATTTTCGTTCAAAATGTTACCAAATAATAATTTGTGCCTAAGATTGTTAATTGTGTGATTTAGGACTGATAATGAAATAAGCGATACTTTATTTTATACAAATAAGGCTATACATACACAAAATCGACAGCTTCAAATGAAATTCACATCAGAAATATTTCCAATCGCTTGAAAGTATATCGTTATTTTTTTCTCAATAAGAGAAAAGAAATCAATTCTAAGCATTTTAAGAGTACTGAAAAATAAAAAATAAAAAAATCAACTCTTCTTGTTGTTTGATTTATCTAACTCATTTTTTTGAACATTACACAAATTTATTATAGGAATATTTTGCGGTCGATAGATGGTGATAAGTAAATATTCTGACTTTGAAATAAAGCTGCGGCATGAACAATGTTTTATTTAATAAAAACGAAACGACTTTTTTCTTCTTTGCTTAATTGATCAACAGCTTTTATCTTATTTATTAATATCATGGAAAACTCTTTATTGCGAGTACAACAAGTCTACTATGCTGCTATAAATGCAATAATGTCGCATTGTCATAAAGTCGACCCTGCTCCAAATATTATTTTAGATAAGTGAAACTACAAAATATTGTTTTTAACAAATTCTATAAATATGAAAATGAAAATAATAATGTATATTTTGTATAATATGTAAATGAAATCTGTTAATGAAATATGTTTCATTGATGTTATTTCAAGAATTACACAAAGTTGAAATTGACTTGAAATGGACAATATAAACATTGCGATATTTGAAAAAAATTGCTTTTCAAAAATACACTTCACTCTATAAGTGCCAAAAGATCAATAGTTTTTGAAAGTCTTCATAATGAGAAGTATTGTGGTTATGGTGTTCAGTTTTCCCTGTATTTTACATATATTCATTGATCATCAATTCCAAGTGTCAGCGGGAGCAATGGACGTTAGATTTACTTCCTTTGCAAAAGACAAACACTTTATTAAATAAATTCTGCACTTTTTTCAAATGTTTTTCTTTACCGAAAGAATATTTATTTCCCTAAAGGTATTGAACAAGCACTGGTAGTGCAGTGAGCTACCAAATTCCAATTTCTGAGAGCGGTTAAGTTCTTTGGCCAATTGATAGACCATTATGTATTATGAGGTATTAAAGCTTAGTAAGCTCGGTAGTTTCAAAAGGGTCGTTGATCTTTGATACGACTTTCGAAATGTATTGGAGCAAACAGTTTTTTTCGATGTCAATAAATCGAAAATTTCATTTCAGCTGAATAAATATAAGCGAAATAAAAAATAAACTTTCAAATCCAATGAGTGTTTTTCCCCGAGGCGTACACAATTGAACACCATCTCCAAAATATATTTTCATGATACTTTGAAAAATATTTTAAGCGTATCTGGCGTCAACTTGTGACAGTTGAGTTGGAAAAAAATAATATCCACCCAAATTCATTGCTTTTTCTCTAAATATATGTATTATCGAACTCATTATTAAACAAAATTATTAAAAGCTTAAAATGGAGTTTCACAATTCAATTTAAAAAAAAAATGCTAAAAAATGTCAAAGCAGCGCAGAATTTGTTAGTTATATTGGTGCAATGGTGGTTTATCTGCGGGAAGAGGAGGTTCATTAAGAACCGTTATGCGTCCTTCATGCACAGGTTTTGGATTAATGACGCGAATAGACTCAACGTACGTCCGAAACGCGTCAGTCACCTTGATTGATAATGGTCTTGCTTCGCAATCCTATGAACAAAAATTGAAGATTGAAACTATTGGATTTCCAACAAAATTCCAGTCACTTACTCCGAACATATAAAAGCCATTTTTGTTTTTAAACATGAATGAAGTAATGATGACGTTATATTCTTTTTTTGAATCGATTCGTTCATACTTTGAGTCGAAGGTGTAAATATCTGCGGACACAACACGTTTACCAGACTCTCTAGCCACGTCAAAAACAACACGTAATCCCGACATTTGTAAAAATGAACCGATGAATCGTTGTTCACAATATTTGCGTACGGAATATTCGAGAGCTTGTAATAATTTTTCGCCTGAAATTTTGACAATGATAAACTCATTATCAAACGGAATCACTTCATTCAAGTCTATTTCTGTTATATATCCAGCTTTCAATTCACCGCAAATAGAACCGCTCGTGACTAATGCAACACATGAAATGAATGAGATATCCTCCAAATTCGCCATAGCGGATTTAACAATTGAATCGGTGATCAGGTTGCCAAGAGCACATTCCATGGCTCGACATCGAAAATCGGAGAGGTGTATCTTTGATCTGCCTATTGGTTCCCCGGTGATATCCGCCTCCTTTTTTCGATATTCCAATTCGAGAGCCGTTACTTGAGGATCCTTGCGAATACCCGAATTTAATAAAATCGGATTACCCGCAAATTTCTTGAATCTTTTCTCTTTCTTGTCATACTGTAAGGCCATAAAAATTTATTAGAGAAATCGTATCGATTGAAATCCGCTCCAAAAAAGTCCAACCTGCAATTCCAATTTGCCCAAATATTTTGTGTAAGCAAATGCAGTTACAACTGGAACCTTTAAAAATAAAAATAAATTTATAAAAATAATAATTTATTTATTAATAATTTAAATAATTCAACTTGTTTTCCATTTTTTTGCTTGACAACCGTTGGATAAGATGCATCAGGCTCTTCAGTGTCCGGCTGTTGGCCGGTATACAAAAACTTGTGCTGTATGGGTAGGAATAATATCGACTTTAAGCAGAGTATTCTTAAAAAAGCGTCATAAGGCAAATCGTACAGTGTGCCCGCCAACAACAAGATCGATGAAAGGACAGTTGGCAGCTATTTTCAAGTCTTTCCTAAAACCAGAATGGCCCAAGGCGATGATAATTTGGACGCCATCTTTTTTTAAGATTTTTGCCTCTTGACTGAAAGAAAATTGGTTAAAAATTGAAAAAAAGCCTCAAATTCAATCTTACGACTAACTTTATTGCCGCTATTTCAGGAGTGATATCCACGTCGCATCCGGATGTTGAATTTTTTGTTTCTGGTGTTAGGTAGCCGATGATTCCAATTTTATATCCACTTACTTTGAGAACAACGGATGGCATAACTGATTTTACTCTACGTAATGGATTGTCGGTTTTATTGTTCATATTTGCGAATAATATTGGAAATTTAACACGATTCAAAAATGGTATCAAAGCATCGGTACCATGGTCAAACTCGTGATTGCCTAAACACTGTATTAAATCAATTTGAAATTCAAGTTTTTAGAAATGGTGAATTTTTGCTCTTTTGCACAGCATTTGAGAAGTGAAAAGCATGCATATAAAAGGCATTAAAAATAATTTCGATATACCATTGCATCTGGCTTCAGAATATTCATGAAATCTGCGGTGACCTTGTGCTTGAATAAGTTAAACCATCGTGATCCAACATAAACATCGCCAGCATCCAAATATAAGACATTTCCATTTTTGGCCGCTTGCCGATGTTCCTTTACTACTTGTGATATGCGTGCAAAACCCCCGAAACCTTCACTTATTTTACTATCGGCAGCCAGGTATGATTTTAGTGACGAATCAATTGGCAAGAATCGAGCGTGCATATCATTACTATGCAGAATGGTTAGACTAAAATCATTTGGACCTGATTTCACGAAGTTCGCTGATAATGTTAACAGCAACACCACACTCAAAATCGTGATAGATTTTTTGCGAGAGAACATATTGGCGACTTTAAAAGCAAGAAGATCAATTAAGTTATCGCTCGAAAAGAAAAAACTTGTGTTATGAAAATTCAATTTTCACTCACAAATTAGGTTACGTAAAATAAGCGTGTCTGCCTTACTAAACGTGCCAATTAACACTGTGTATTATAAAAATCGATTTGTGTTTATACAGCTTTTTTTGATCAATTTTGAATTATTGTCATCGCTTCAGACTGTGAAATACAGAATAACTTTTGTAGGTAGTCATGAGAATTAATAGTCAATATAGGTTTCTAACGCAGCAATGGAAATTTACAATCTATCAAACGAATAATTAAAATAAATGCTCTTCGTCATTCTTTATTTAGTATTTTTCTCCACGACGTCTTTAATTTTATTGTGTTTCAATGTAAGAACCGAATGAAAATTCAGCTATATGAAGTTCTATTATGAACATAGTTTGAACCCTAAAATTTCAATGCAATGCTAAACTATGAGACGTTTGTATGGGTGGAGTCGCATTCAATCATCCACATAAATGTTATTTCAATTCACTTGTCAATCCGTCAAAGAAGCCATAAGAAAACCATAGATTTATTGCCTAAAACGATAAAAAATAAAATTCACATATAGTTGGCGCTGCATTCTATGCAAACTTGTTTTCCGTTGCAACGGACTAAGTGGAAAGTATACGCTTATTACATAGAATGTAGCGCCAACTATACGTGAATTTTATTTTTTTATCATTTTAGGCAGTAATCTTATCGCTTCTTTGACGTGTTGTACAAATTTGGTTTTACAAGTTGCTAAATTGGTGCCATAGAGTCAATTACTGTAAAATGTCATTCAAACATTACAATCCAAAAGAAATTCATGATACAATTTTCAAATTTTATTTCAATCAATTTTACAAAACTTTAAATATGAAACAATTTCAGTTTTTCTTCATTTTACTTTTCCGCACACACCTAGTGTGTAAGGGGAAAGTATTGCAATGGGTCAAAATTTACGACACCTCAAAAACATGTTTTCTGGACGTTTCTGAGGTCAGAGAACCCGAATCAGGCCGTTTTGAGTATAGTTGTTGTGGGTCTGTTCCACGTGGTACGTCGTCCGCCGTACGCAAAATTTTTCCATCTCTCATCCATTACACTGTGCGTCACTCAAAATGTGATGGAGACGAGACCCACCATTTTTACATAATTTGGGTATGCTGATTTCAATGGCATCACCCGTTTTTCTCTTACACGCCAGGATTTTCCACAATTTTCCTAGAGAGTTTTCCGGAAAACCAAAATTGGATGTTTTTACTCTAGTAACATTTTGAATTCATGCAATATCCCAGAGGGGTGACCTATCAGGCGTTGTAGTACGGTTCAAGTATAGTTAAGCCACACAATTCGTTTAAAAAAAAAATTGAGTCATTTGAAAAAAATTGATTTGGCTATTCCCCTCTGAAGTCCAAATTTTGAAGTAAAATTGATATCCATTCAAACGCTCTGAAAATGAGTATTTGGGGTTTTTTTGGCATGAAAAGACCGAATATGACGCTTTTTCTGCTATAAAATTAGATTTGAATACACTTACCACATGTTAACATTTTTGGTCATTTTTGACCATTTTGGATAGTTTTTGTTTGATAAGTGTATTCAAACCCAATTTTATAGCAAAAACAGCGTCATATTCGGTCTTTCAGAGCGTTTGAATGGATACCGATTTTACTTCAAAATGTGGGCTTCAGAGGGGAATAACCAAATCAATTTTTTTTTTCAAATGACTCAATTTTTTTTTTAAACGAATTGTGTGGCTTAACTATACTTGAACCGTACTACAACGCCTGATAGGTCACCCCCCTGGGATATTGCATGAATTCAAAATGTTACTAGAGTAAAAACATCCAATTTTGGTTTTCCGGAAAACTCTCTAGGAAAATTGTGGAAAATCCTGGCGTGTTAGAGAAAAACGGGTGATGCCATTGAAATCAGCATACCCAAATTATGTAAAAATGGTGGGTCTCGTCTCCATCACATTTTCAAAGTTAAAATAAAGAGTCTTACGGGAGTAAGACGAACTTTTCCGCACGGTGGTAGTTGCGTATTTTATTAAGAAAGTTCAAAATAATATTTGCTCGATTCTTCAAGTCTTTCAAGTGGCGTAAAGTTCGATACCAAAAAATATGTTTCAACTTTGGCAACGAAATATTCTTTAATTTAATAGCAGAAGTACCCGAGAAAAGATTTTTCACACTTTCATGATGAACCCATTTGTACGACATTTGAAAGTATTCTATTTTCTAACAAAACACTATAAAAAATATGTCAGACGTTAATTTTGCCATAAAGATTATTTTTGAAACACTTTTCATAACTAAAGTCACAACAAATTTGGATTTTTGTATGGGAGCCATGTCTGTATGCTACCTTAATGGCGTGAAACTTTGCACAGGTTATTTTTTTCACAAATAACATTCGGAGGGTTTGGAGAAATTTCAACCAAAATCAAGAGTACTTCCCATACAAAATATTCGTTTTTGAGCCAATTGAAAATTTTGTATGGGAGGTACCCCTAATTTTAATTGAAATCTCTTCAAATTTTCAGAATGTTATTTTTTTGTGTAAAAAATAGTCTTGGCAAAGTATTAAGGTAGCATACAGGCATGGCTCCCATACAAAAATCCAAATTTTTTGTGATTTTTTCAAGGAAACTGTATTAAAAATTGATTGTATCTCAAAACTAACGTCGGATTCGGTTTTCTCGTGCCAAAAAACCCCCCAATACATATTTTTGAGTGTTTATTATGACTACATTAAGTATGACTTTTGGACGAAAATTGGACTCTTTTTCATAGGTATCACTCCAGGCATGGAATTTTTTTCCATCAACCAAAGTCGCTCAAAATCTGATGATTTCTATTCCTGGGGACCCCCAATCATCCCGTGAAGTCAGATTTCAAATAACTTTTCTGGGTGGTGAGAAAATCGATGGACAAATTTTGCGTACGGCGGACAACGTACGACGTACGACGTACGACGTACGACGTACGACGTACGACGTACGACGTACGACGTGGAAGCGACCCACAACAACCATGCTCAAAACGGCCTGATTCGGGTTCTCTGACCTCAGAAACGTCCAGAAAACATGTTTTTGAAGTTTCGTAAATTTTGACCTATTGCAATACTTTCCCCTTTCACACTAGGTGTGTGCGGTAAAGTAAAATGATGCACAGTGTTATCTCACCTCCCAGAAAAGTTATTTAAAATATAACTGAACATGATGATTTGGGGTCGCTCAAAAAAAAATAGCCTGTGCAAAGTTTCACGTCATTACGATACCATACAGGCATGGTTTCCATAAAAAAACTCCAAATTTTTTTGACTATTTTATGAAAAGTGTTTCAAAAATAGTTTTTATGGCAAAATTAACGTCAGACATATTTTTTATAGCGTTTTTTTAAGAAAATAGAATACTTTCAAATGTCATACAAATTGGTTCATCATGAAATTGTGAAAAATCTTTTGCGAGTACTTCTGTTATAAAATTAAAGGATATTTCGATATTTTTTGGCCTCGAACTTAACGCCGCTTGATAGACTTAAAAAATCGAACAAATATTATTTTGAACTAGCTTAATAGAATACGCAACTACCACCGTGCGGAAAAGTTCGTCTTACTCCTGTAAGACTCTTTATTTTTCGGACTCTGTAAGACTCTTTTTTTATTGTGCGTACGTAATATTAAATTGATCTCTCTCTGGTCCGTTTCTGTGACTGGCTACTATTCGTCTCGAAATGCATACAAGAAAGATATACAGTCCCGTATAAAATACTAAAAAATGGGAAAATATTAATTCACTCATTAAGAATATCATTCGAATGATCAATTATTACATGTTATTGAATAAATTGAACTACAAATAAAGCTCCAACGAAATGGCGGATTGTATGCTTCGTCGATTATATCGTTAATAATGATACCGATCCAAGGACCTACAGAAAAACTTGAAAAATTATTAAAAAATAAAAAAAGATACAAAAGAAGTGTCGTTAAACAATTGTCAAATATATTGAAAAGAAACATTACCGAATGGTATCAACCAACATATCAGTGCTTTCTGCATGAATGCTATTTTGAACTGAAAAAAAAAACAAATGGTCGTTATTGAAACTCATTTTTGTTCAAATTGTGTCTATTAACACTCACTTTATTTATTCCATACAGCCAAGTCCATGCCGCCACCAAATTTAAGACTGAGAAAAAAGATATTTATTCATATGTCAAAAATCAGTGTTTTGTTTACAAAACAAACATACTAAGTAGCAAAATTCCTATATACAGATAGAAATGCCAATAATGCGAATCCGGAAAAAATAGTAAAGTCTGTCCAACGTTAAATGCGATCATTATCCAACCAGCAATATGTCCATATAATTTCCAGTCACATTTAAAGATTTTTTCCACACCTTTTCCGAATGCATTATAAATCAACATTAAGATAATGTAAAAGAGTACAAGTACCACTAGAATCGAGGAATGAACGAAAGAATTTAGTCATGGAACATTTTGCAAAACTTTAACCTTGTCATTACCGGTTAGAGATGGAATCAAAGTTTCGGAGGTGCATATAATTTGAAAGTGCACATAATGCAGATCTGGACCAATGAATATTATTACTATTGTGAATAGAAATATATAGCCCAGCCACAGGTTCAAGGATGCACCCCAAAGAATCAATGACTTCAGCATCAATCCTTTTTTACCCTGTAAACATTGCGAACATTGAGAGGAACACTGCATAGAATTATTCAACTTTTAAATGTGCGTTACTTTTAGACTTCCCCACAACCACATGATGGTTGCCAGTATATCAGCCGCTGTAAAATAACATTTCATAACATACAAAATCAAAAGGCCTTTTTGAAAAAAGGTAAATTAAGTTCAAATTTAGAAGAACCACTTACCAAACATTAAAACCATCGCTTTATTAATTATAATTATTTGTAACAGTACATTAGGATGTAATGTGATCGGATGCAAATGCGCATAACTTAAATTTGTTTCTTGGTACATTTCACTTATTTCACTTTGTACATAGCATAGAAATGCAAAGTAAATGGTACCAAACAGAAATCCCAATAGTCCGGCCAATTGGCCGGTGACCTTTCGTTCGGTATAACAATTCAAACTTTCCATTTCTATAATGCTGATGACCTGATATATCAAGAATGCACGTATACAACACAGTCTATTTGCAATGATCTTTAGACAATAGCCAATAAAGAGAACACAGAAACAGAGATAAACGAATGTTTCTTTTAATCACATATTTTGTCACTCAATTAAAATGTTCAAATTTTATTTTTATTCTATTATTAAATTCTTTTTAATATTTCTATTAATTTTGTAGTCGAAGAGATGTTCTTTAATTTCACAGAGAAACGGAATTTACATGAAAGACAGACAAAACATTTATCAAAACTGAGACGCATTAAATATTTGGTCGGATTCACTCTCTGAATATATTCTGCGATACATTGCATACCGTTGCATACACAAATGCTAACACTGGCGGCTTTGGTGCTGTATATAAATATACACTGAATAGATTCAATACAAATGAGTTTTGATTACAAAAAATATTGTTTGTCGCCACATATTCACTGTGCATAATTCAATAACTCTTTTTTTAATATTTTTGTCGAATCTGACGCTATTTAACAAAATACTATAAAATCTATTAAAAGATAAAGAGATGACTCAATCGGCGAATGCGTTGTTTATGCCATAATTTCACGATGTTACCAAATCACAACATATTAATTAGAGTGCGTCAAATCAAACCGAAGTTCGGCATTTTCGAGTGCGATTAAGCTTATCGATTGTTATGTTACAGCATCAAATATAAAGACCTGCCCAATGGATCAAAATTAGTAGGTGACAATAAGTGCTTAGTGCAGTGATGTAATGCATTTACACAAACGCCGTAGACTTGAACTGCTTTCAAACCAATTGAATTGCTTCTGAAATTAAAAATCAGGACTTATTTCAAAATGTTTTCTCTTCAAATTATGAAGAGCAAAAAAGCTCTTCACTATCTATTTGCAAAATATTAATTTAATCTATTTTCGTTTATAATTCTATTCAACGATAATATTTCGGGCACAGAAGGTACTCAGATCATTTTCAGAATATTTGGAGTATGAAGTGATCATTTCATTCGCAGTGATTTATAACGAAAGTGTGTTTTTCAATGTCCGTAGTAGAATTCAGTTTAGATAAGTAAACATTTGATGCAAAAAGCATGCAATATAATGTGTGATGCTGTCAATATCAAGCAATTCATTATTCCTTTTCGTTTTCATTCTTCATCATATGTGTACGCAAAACGTAGTTGTATATGATTCGGTTGAGTTCGGGCATCGGTCGCACTGTGAATCAGACATATGCCGACAAATAATAATTTTCGTAAACAAAACTCCTTTGTATTGAATTTGTTGTATAAACAGAAAGTATATAGCATTCTCCAACTCTCTATTCAGTGTGTGTTATGTGTTTATATACAGCACCAAAGCCGCCTGTGTCAGTATTTGTGTTTGTGTATGCAATGTATCGCAGACAATGAATCCAACCAAATATTTAATGCGTCTCAGTTTTGATAAATGTTTTGTCTGTCTTTCATGTAAATTCCATTTCTCTGTGAAATTATAGAAAGTCTCTTCGACTACAAAATTAATAGAAATATTAAAAATAATTTAATAATAGAATAAAAATAAAATTTGAACATTTTGATTGAGTGACAAAATATGTGATTTAAAAAAAACATTCGTTTATCTCTGTTCTTTTTGTGCGTTTCTGTGTTCTCTTTATTGGCATATGTCTCAAGGTCATTGCAAATACACTGTGTTGTATACTTCCCTTCTTGATATTAGGTCATCAGTATTATAGAAATGGAAAGTTCAAATTTTTATTCCGGACGAAAGGTCACCGGCCAATTGGCCGGACTATTGGGATTCCTATTTGGCACCATTTTATTTGCATTTCTATGCTATGTACAAAGTGAAATGTACCAAGAAACGGGAATAATTAATAAATCGATGATTTTGATGTCTGGTAAGCGGTCCTTCTTAATTTGAAACTTTTTCAAAGGAGTCTTTCGATTTATTATGTTGTGAAATGTTATCTTACAGCGGTTGATGTACTGGCAACCATCATGTGGCTGTGGGGAAGTCTTAAGGTACATATAAAAATCAAATAATTTTGTGCAGTGTTCCTCTCAATGTTCGCAATGTTTACAGGGTAAAAAAGGATTGATGCTAAAGTCGTTGATTCTTTGGGGCGCATCTTTGAACCTGTGGGTGGGCTATATATTTCTATTGACAATAAAAAGCATACCCTATGGTCCAGATCTGTATTATAAGTACAGCACTTTCGAAACGTTGATTGGACCTCTAACCCGTAATGACAAGATTAAAGTTTTGCCAAATATTCCTTGACTAATTTATTTCGTTTATTCCTCGTTTCTAGTGGTACTTGTTCTATCTTTCATTACCTTAATGTTGATTTATAATGCATTCGGAAAAGGTGTGGAAAAAATCTTTAAATGTGACTGCAAATTATATGGATATATCCTTGGTTGGATGTTGAAAGCATTTACTGTTGGACAAACTTTACTATTTTTTTCGCAGTCGAAACAATCGGATTTCTATCTATATGGTGGGATTTTGGTACTTGGTATGTTTGTTTTGTAAACCAAACACTGAATTTTGACATATAAATAAATATCTTTTTTTCGCAGTCCTGAATTTAGTGGCGGCATGTACTTGGCTGTATGGAATCACCAAAGTGAGTGTGAATAGACACAATTTGAACAAAATATCTATTTGAATTTCAATCGCGACCATTTCTTTTTCCAAAGTTCAAAATAGTATTCATGGTGATTGCACTGATATGTTGGTTGATACCATTGGGTAAGGTTTCTTTTCAATATATATGACAATTGTTTAACGATACTTCTTTTTTATCTTTTTTTTTATTTTTCCACGATTTTTCACGCTTTTCTGCAGGTATTTGGATCGGTCTCATTATTTACGGTATAATGGACAAAGGATACAATCCGGGAAATCGTCGGAGCAACACTTTTAATCCAATTTATTCAATAACAGGTAATTGATCAATCGAATATGAAATTCGTAATAAGTTAATTAATATTTTCCTATTTTTTTAGTATTTTACACGGGACTGTATATCTTTCTTGCATGCATTTCGAGACGAATAGTAGCTAGTCACAGAAACGGACCAGAGAGAGATCAATTTAACATTACATACGCACCACCACCAAACCTCCATAACAAGGATACTGCTTAATAACGAAAGGGTGTGCAATCACTCCTTTCTCAAAAATGCCATAAAAAAACAACAAATTAATATGATAGATTTATGTAGTAAATTACGTAGTGTGCACAGATTTAAGAGTTTTGATAGAGTCATGAGAAAAGTTCTTTTTACTACAATGGAATCTCAATTTGTGTGAATGTCCGTCTTTTTCGTTATTTGTCATGGAGTAAGTACCGTTCCATCTAGAGGCCTTACTTCATAAATAGCATTGAGAACGACAAAACTAAAAAGGACTATGTCTTTTTGGGATACAACACGAAAATTATCAATTTCGTCTCATTTCAATATCACATGGGCCCGATTTCACCAAATTTAAAATCTTCTTGTTTTCAACTGTCTCTTTTTTGTCAACAATAAAGAAAATATAGCCTATTAAGAAATCTATATAAGAAATCTGTTGCTATTGGATGAAAAGGCAGAAATTAAAAAAAGAGAATTTTAAAATGCAGGAGAATGTTGAAATCGGGCACTGAACACTGATTTTACTTACTCCATGTATGACAGTGCCCGAATCTCATGTAGATTTACATGTTATTTTTTAGTATTTCGAATATGTCTTCGACAAAAATCCGTCCTACATTGTGCCATACTCTCAATGCCTTCAAAGTAAAATTGCATTTTTTTCCTGAAGATGAACTGAACTGGCGAATCAAACTCAAGTCGAAAAGTCGAACACTTTTTATTGAATAGCATATTTTCGATTAAAATTCAATTTAATGATAAAAACAATAAAAAACGCCCCAAATGTGTAATTACATATAAGCCCCAATGTTCAAATCGACTTGACTTGAATTTTGTTTTATGTTGCAGTGTTGTCAAGTGTTGTATTGCCTGCAAATAAACTCAATAAAAATACAGCTGTTTTGTTTTTCCCACTCTCTCTCTTAACATTGTTAAAAATATACAATCTCAGCACAGTGACATCATCCAATTTGAATGTGTTTGACATTGTGATATTGAATGTATGTGTAGCTGTCACTGGGTATGTCTATCATTTGACAGTTGTGGACAGCTATTGTACTTGTTGATTTTGACAAAAGAGAGAGAGAGAAAGAGGAAAAAGAGGGGAACGATCGATTCACTGTCTAATATACACAAGAGTAGAGAATTTGATATACTTAATTCACAAAAACAACGACAAATGTATACTGTGTACCGCTCGTGTGTAAAGAAATGAAATAAAGCAAGTCAATGCCAAGGTCAAATGCGTATTGCACTTGCTTTACCCGTGTTTAAGAAAACAAAAACATGTTTTTTATCTTTTATTTTCTTTATTCAAGTATGTAATAAAGCAATTTTGATACAAATTTAAGCAGAAAACAGATTTCAAGCTTTCGAAGCCAAATAATAGACAATTTATTGTTAATTAAAACCACATAAATGAGGGAATTACTAATATTTTCTGCCTTCTATTTCGATACAACACATAAAAATATTGGTAGCATGGACAATATCGCTGAAAAAATAGTAATTTTTGTACGAATTTCTTCAAAATATTGATCTACCTTCATCTAAAACGTTCTTTGCTCAGAGCTCTTTACTCCAAACACAATGTTTTTTGCAGCAAAGAAAAATGTGCATAGTAAAATCATGAGTTTTCGTGTGTATTTTATACTTTTACTGTGCGTTTGATCATCAATTTCAAACTTATTCAGCGCAGCTTCGTTTGATTTCGACGAATTTCAAATTGGTGTTTCCAATGGACCATTTTGTAGCCAAAAAAATGTTCTGATTGAGATAAATGACGACTTTCCATGCGTTACCCAATTTTCCGCGTTCCTTATTCAATTTAGACAAATTTAAAATGCCGCCATTAAGATAGGCATAGAGTTTCCTCAATTTGGCACATCGCATAAATGGAAGAAGATCGTTTGATGTGACGGAGCTAATGGAAACCGTGTGGAGATTCACAAGATTATTGGCCAGCATTTCAATATCCTTCGACGTAAGACCACTCGGCAGTGTCAACTCCTTCAATCCGGTCAACTGGTGCAAGCTGTAAATTTCGTTGAACTCACGAAGAGTCAGCTTTTCAACAGCTGGCAATGAAACAATCTCATCGCAAAATTGTTGGTTGATACGTTCAACGGTTAAATGTAATCCTTTAAAAATGCCTTTTCCGTGCATTTCATTGAATAGATCTCGAAATTGACCCAAGCTCGACAGGTTGCTGCCAAACTTTTTGGTGAATTCAACGCCCAAAACGTTCAATTTCACATTGCTCGCGTCCAACTGACCCTGATTCATCCACAGAAATTGTGACGTGGTTGAAAAACTTTGAACACTCGCATTTTGCTGGAAGAATGCACTTAGGTCTGGAATTTCCTTGTTTATCCGCGGTGACAATGTGATGTGTTCAAGTTTTGGATAGCATTTGTTCAGCCAATCGTTTCGCCTATAAGAATTTATGATATAACCCACGTCGTCGTAAATCGTCAAATTCTTTAGATTTGTACAAAATTGCAGCAAAACTTCGTACACATCACCACGACCAGTGCATTGATGAAGTCGAATGGTTTCAACTTGCGGTAGGATTGGTTTAAAGTTTTTGATTTTATGTGCATCAATACATGTACACACAAAATAGATGTCACCAACCGATTCAAATTCATTGACGGACGTTTCGATGTAACTGAGTGGCCCCACATTCTCGTAGTACTGCGATATGTTATGAATGAATCGATTGAAACCAGAGGTTTGCGTGCGTTCATTCGATACACCCTCATGATCAGAGTACACCGTATAAATGCCATTGTAATGTGTGAACTTTTCGCATCGTTTGTAATTTCGTTTGAAATATTCGCCGGCCACTTTATTCATTCGTGTGCATGTTTGGCCGAATGAATGCAAATCTTTCACATTCAAATACTCAAATATCTCGTCAAAACAATCGATTGTCAATTTGAAAATTGACGGCAAAGGCACTTGGTCGGAAGAATTCGATGAGGTCCCAGCTACTTCGATCTCATCGCTTGATGCGGCTTGGTTTATATCATAAACCGATTGCGATTTTTTGGGTGGAGTCTCGGTGTAGTCATCGTCACTGTTGATTCCACTCATTTTTCTATTCGATTCTTCGGGATTTTTCGATATTCGCAATAAACGAAGAAACTTTTTAAAAAATCCCATTACTGAAAAGAAATTAAAGAAATTCACTTTAATTGATTTTGACACAACAGAATTGTATTTCATGTAAAATGTTAAAAGTTAAAAATAGAATGAGGAATAATGCGAGCAGTGATGGAAGAAATAGTCGCAAAACATAAATTAATTTCACTGACAACAGCACAATATATGCGATATTTTTAGATATGATGAGTCAACACTTCCAAATATAGGCTCTTTGAATCGATTTCAATAGATGACATATTTCAATTCACAATGGTTTTTACTTTGATAATAACAAAACAAAATACGTTACATAATTTACTTTGAATTCAGTTAAATATTTTCAACAATATATTTTGATAGATACAATTTCACAATTCAACAAAGTTCACTGGTGAGTGAAAATTACATATTCCAACGTGATTTGAAGAGACACTGACCGCGTTTTGCGTATTAAGGTTCATATACGATGGAGATAGATGCGTGCTAAATGTGTGAGGAGCCGATGTTGAATGTATTTGTTCAGTCCGTTCTTAGTAGGATTACATTCACATTGGAGCGAACGACTTTCGACGGTAACCGACCGATGAACACTTCGGCTTTCTATATGATATGTCCAAGGGGGGTTGACGTATATGAGATTGGAGACTTTTTTTTGCGAATC